GAAATACGGCAGGAAACGTCAGGAGTCGTTTAGCAGATCTAGTTCAGTTGTGGACAAGGCAACTACGTCAGAGAAACTGGGAGATTACTCTGTAAGCGAATTGCCGAGCACGTAGCAGCAGCAGCAGCAGCAGCAGAAGTGAATCGGGGAGACACTAGCTCTCAGGTGGCGGTTCATTCTACGGAACCCAACCCTATTTCCAAGTTTCAGGAGGCCGAAATCCTCGCAAGGGGTGACAACCTCGCGAGCCGCGAGCTGCTCCAGTCATGGTTCTCAGACCCACAATCCATCAACGAGCGCAATGACCTCCCGTTACCGTATTTCGCGCTGAGATTTTCCCTGGACAGGGAATCAGTCACGTGGGGAGGGCGCGGGCGAGCAATTATCCCAGTGACAGTGAGCCAATTTGCCCAGCAATTGTCACACCAGCATCCAACACGGATGACGAAATAACGGCACTTAACGACTCGGACGCGGACTGACAAGCAACCATCTCATCAAGTACGACCTCAGCGACGTTTGCGAGAGCTGTTAATTACAGTACGCTTATGTTCTCACGGCAGCCACGTGCTATAAATACTGCACTCCTTGTGCCACCATTATCCTTATCTGTGACTGTCTCTGATGATGGTTTTGAGTGAGAATGCGAAACGGCAGGCCAATAGATTTCTTGTTGCAGTGATTGCATCTTCGTCTTCCGAACTGCTTCCTGGACCTCGCCTGTTCGTCTCTATCGGCAAATCACATCGTATTGTGGCGACATCTGCTTTACGTAGCCTACAGTAGCTGGGTCCGAACCACGACCTCTTGGTCGATTATGAACCTAAGATGCATCACAAACAGCATATAAACAGCAATTACCCAGACTCAAATCTTGAATCCGGCTGACAATGGTCTCCTGACGTTGTAGTTATTGATCTGGCTTCGAACCTGTGACGATGATATCTCCCGTGCAGACAGTGGCTTCTTCGGTACCCGTCAGCAAAATGTCTATGTTTTGCAGAAAAGTGGCAG